GTAATGTTAGCTTTAAACAGAAACTATTTAAAAAAAGCAAAACAGTAAAACATAAATTTTGTATTAGTTTTTATTATTTAGTTCAATGTTTTCCATTTTATACACTACCATGCTGTTGAGCAGAACTTAAAGATTTGTTTATATCTACATATATAAATATGAGTAACATAAATTATGTAAAAAATCGGTCAAACAATCCACGGTCAATTGTATGAAGAAATGGTTTCCGGCCAACTTATAATAACTATTTCAGGGATTGCCAAAAGTCGTAAATTAATGTTAGTTATGCCTACTTTATTCCCAAAATAAAAAAGGACGAAATCAATTTCAGTTTTCAGTTCTTACAAAAATGAATAACGCATGAATGATCTCAATTCTCACATATATGAAACGAAACTGTGAAGGCATAATTTATGAATGCGTAACTATAGCACAAAAACTCAATCAGCCAAAATTAGTTCACATATTGTTTTCATATGTTGAAAAAGTAACCCATTTTTCCGACAAACTATTACTGGCACTTCAGAGACGGGCAGCTTCAAATCTTTCTTTTAAATACACTATATCCTGACGTAATATTTTTAGTAAGAGATACAGTAAAAAGAGTTAACATTTATGAGACTTCTGGTATGTTCTACTGTCAATACGAACTACATTATGGAAATTTTATCATAAAATTCTTTTTAGCGTTTTTATTGCTATGATTTTGAGATACGGTTAATTTGCAAATGCGAAAGAGATTACTAAAGGTGATGTCTGGAATAAGGCTCTGTACGAGTGCGAAATGTAGATGGGAGGCGTGGCGGAAAAGAACATATTAGAAGCTTTCGAAATGTGATGTTTGTCGGATTTATGTGTCTAACAAAGGAACGAAAAATTGAGTTGTATATAGTCTCTGTATATATAATCTAATTCTATCCCATGTCCCATTTCCTTCAAGTTACAAGATAATTCACTTATATATATATTTACACTTGTAGGTAGATTTGATAGTTAGATGAAAGAAGAATGGCAGTTAGTTCGAATATAAATTTATAAAAGTAGAAAGCAAAAATATTTTCTATGAGAAGCTGATTTATATCACTTCATTGTACCCCATTTCCAAAATAGATACAGACGAATAATGAGTATACCCTGAATAGAGAAGGTTATCAATGGAGAGATATTAGAGAGAGAGCTATGGAAGTCTTTAAGAAATACGAGAGATAAGTTGGTAGGACACCTTATTAGAAGCATAAACAAGAGTTGAAAGGCGTAGAGGTAGATCTAGATTAGTGCTGGCAAATAGTTAAGGATGTGGAATGTTCTAGTTTTAGGTTTTCAGATTAGCTCAGGATAGACAAGAGTGGAGGTGCATATCCAAACTAGAACTGAAAACCCTGTGATGATGATAATGATAATGATGATTTGAAACGAATATGTTGTACTTTTCAATAAATATATCCACCAAGAAGTGTTTTATTTATGAAATAAAATTGAAAAACTATATTAACATTCATGTAAAAATCGAACAACATTTGGAAAACTTTGTTTATAAATTACGTTGTCAAAACAAAGCTCCACATTTACATAGGTATGTAAGTACAGTTCATTTATTAGCAACATTATTATAAGTTGCTAATGTATTTATCCGAGTTATATATAAATATATGTGTATGTATAAATATTTGCTCGAAAGTTTAGCACATACGCGAGTAAACGTTTTGGGTGATGTATCTTACTTCCCCAGCTACAAAACTTTTTGAGAAAGCAACTCTATTGTGCTGTCAGTAAATTTTATGGGTTATTTATTGATAAAACGATTGCGATCAATTGATGTTTGATCATAAAAGTACGTAGGCAATAAAAATGAATTACGCTGGGATATATACCTAATCCCATTAATTTACTTACTTAATCGATAATAATCCAACATTAATATGTANAAATATCCACAAATATCGAGATATTTCACAATCAAAATACGTAATTTATATTTTTTATAAAAGCGAAATAAGGACAAAGTTTGTACTATACCTATTCAAATTCGAAACCTTACAAATAATACATGTAGTTATCTATCATCATTATAATAAGGTCGTCAGTCGTAAAATAGATTGGACACGCACCTCTACACTTTTCTACTTTTCGCATTTCCCTAAAACTCGAACAAATCTCACATCCTTAGATGTGTAGTAATAAAAGGAAACTTAAAGCTCAATTTAATGATTACATTAACTATAGCAAAATGAGTGCATCTTCAATTATGTATTAAAATGGAATATCTTTAAGTTCGGTTTATTTTTAATTTGGGGGTAAATAAGATCAGATTAGAAGCTTTTTTTCCGAATGCAAGGTACCCACCCCAATAAAGAATTTAACGGAACGGAACATACGTAAAAAGAGCAAATGTTTAAATCATCATCCATCATGATTATTTAGTACCTATAAGTTAATTAAAAATAGATTTTAGTTCTACGTTTATTTGTATTGTCAATAGTCGGCCATTTTTATTGCTTTGACGTAGTGTCGGCCATCATTCTTTCTCAATTGTTGTCGCATTGTTACTGATGCCGGCCATTATGCTTATTTGATTTCTGGCAAAAGAGACGTCTCCTTAAAACGATGTATAGTAATCAAAAGAATTTTAAAGCTCTATTTAACGATCTTTCTCTAACTATAGCAAAAAGAGTGTATCTCGAAGTATGTATTAATATGAAGTATCTTTGTGTTCGGTGTATCTGTAATGTAGGAGTAAATAATGTCAGATTAGGAGCTTTTTTGCCGAATGCCAGGTGTCCATCATAATAAGGAGTTTAACGAAAAATCAAGGGAATGCTTTAATCATCATCTATCATGATTATTTAGTATAAGTTAATTAAAAATAGATATTAGTTCTATGTTTGTTTGTATTGTCAGTAGTCGGCCATTTTTATTGCTATGACGTAGTGTCGGTCATCATTCTTTTCTAATTGTTGACGTATTGTTGCTGTTGTCGGCCATCATTCTTTTTCAATTGTTGTCGTATTGTTACTGATGTCGGCCATTATGCTTTTTTAATTTCCAGCAAAAAGGACGTGACCTTGCAACGGTATATAGTAATCAAAGGAATCTTAAGCCTCGATTTAATGATTACTTTAACAATAGCAAAAAGAGTGTATAATCAATCATGTATTAAAATGGAATTTATTTGAGTTCTATTTATTTTTATTTTGGGGGTAAATGAGGGCAGAGTAGGAGCTTTTTTACCGAATGCAAGGTGCCCAGGCCAGTAAAGAATTTAACGAAACATTACATTATCCATCACGATTATTTATTATGAGTTAATTTAAAATAGATAGTGTCAACCATCATTCGTTTCTAATTATTGCGATTATCTGCCTTCCTAGATACCTAAAAACAACCACTTTTTCTAATATTTCGTAACCTATCTTTAAACAAACTAAGTACCTATCACTCTTCTATCTCTGTAACTCATCCCTACATTTTTAAGTAGGTATATTTAACATCTTGTCCCATTTAACATTGTCAAAAGGTTTTTCTAAATCTACAAACCCCTGTACAAACTTGAGTGGATGGATCGGCTTGCGAGTTTCGATGATTTAAGGAGTCGGGTCATAGATTCAACCAAAAATGGGGGAGGGGGTTCTTAAAGAGAAACCAACTAAGACGAGTCCCTGAAAGAGGGCAGTAGCTCTTTCAGTACTCAGGGTGGAAGAGATCATGAGGATTGGTATGGCACTCTGATGCACAATACTGCGATGTGGAAGGTAACGGGGAACCACCACAATATGATCCCAAGTAAAACGTACAACTACAGAAATTAAATGATGGCATCCTCTGGGGTAAAGCACTCCGGACGTAAACTAGGCCCCCATTAGGATGTCCGGGTGGGGACTATGTCATTAATAAGTGCAATAGGGGTAGGTGCAAACGAGTCGGAGCGTGGAATGTTAGGGCAATGAGGCAAGTAGGGAAACTAAAAAATTTAAAAGTTGACATGAATAGGTTAGAATTAGATATAGTTTGCATTAGTGAAGTCCTCTGACCCAAAGCTGGATACTTCGGGAGTGGAGACTTTAGAATAATACATACAGGATCGATGGAAGGTAATTCGGGGGTAGGAATTGTAATGCGTAGGAAAACAGTTAAATTAAACTCGAAGTCTATAAAAAAAAGTGCAGGTCTACATACCTACTTGCCTACATCATCTTACAATGATGAAGACGTAGAAGCGGTTTATGCAGATATAGAAGACGTGTTAAGCTTAGTGAAAAGGCAGGAAAACCTAATAGTTCTAGGAGACTTCAATGCAATAATAGGTGAAGCTAAAGACGGTGCATTAGAAGGTTCTTTTGGATTAGGCAATAAAAATGCTAGGGGAGATAGATTGATAAAATTTTGCGGCAAACATAACTTAACCGTCGCCAACACTTTATTTAACCATCACGTCAGAAGGTGCTATACATGGAAGATGCTAGGTGATTTAGGGAAATATCAGTTATATTACATACTAGTTAATTAGCAAAAAATCTAAAATTTATTATAAGCTCAAAAAATTCTCCTCTACTTTAGAGAAGAATCGTTGTTTTTTTTTAATGATTATTAAACAGGCAATTTTCTACATTCCATTTAAGTAATTTCACAACTTTACTGAAAAAATTTTTTTAATGTTTTTAAACGCTATTTTATAGTAGCATGCTACGACAAATGTTAAGTTCAAGTAATTCATGAATTCATTAAAAAAAAAAATAACAGCTACGATATTTCAAGAAGCTTTTTAAAAAAATAATATTGTTTATGTATTTAGAACACATGTTGAGCGTTAATAATAATCCATCAGCGGTTTACAAAAGCTGTTATAAAAAATAATATACAATTCACAAATAGTTCATATCTATCTTGTTCAACTGGATAATTAGAAATTGCTGACAAGATTTTAAATGAAATCTCCAAGTAAGTAGTCGTATATAATTAGTGCAGAGAAAAGTATTTCTGATGTGAAAAGAAAACCTATCTTATCCCAATTATACGTCACAAATATTAGAAAACAATAAAAGATAATTTTATTGGTGCATGCAAGGTATCCAAGTTTATTTGACATTAATAACCTGTTAAAAGGTGTTTTAGCAGTAAAACCTAATTTTGGAACGACAAAGTTATTACATTGGTAATTTTTCCCAACTGTTTGTTCTAATGTTAAAACACAATATGGAGCACATTTTTCTTCAGTTGTTTTAAATTTCAAAATAATTTATGATTTGGCTAAATTCTGGATTTGCCATAAATGAAGGACTAACAAATAAATAATGATCGCGACGATCAGATCTGACGGTTTTTCCGGAAAAAAGCAAACAGTAAAATTAATTATGTAAGTTTTCACGTTAAAAATTGATTTAACTTTTTAAAACGAGGTAATATTAGCAAACTATATGTTTTATTGGTATTGGTTAGCTATATCTGGTTTTATACACCACGTTGGAATAAATTTTAAATCGTTGAAATACTATTAATAGTAATCGAAAAACAAAATTTACATAAATTAAAACAACAGATTACAATAAAGTTTCTAGCTGCGCAACATTCTCGTTATACATTTATTAAACACAAATTTCGAAAATAAGAGAAGAAACGTATTTCTTTAGATATTTTCTGTTTTACGTCGAAAAATGTAGGCAGAATCCCTAAAAACGATACATCTTTCAAACCTAAAAACCCACTCTGAAATTTCGACTCGCACTTATGCCATCAAATTACAATGGTTGGTATGGTACAAACATTCTGACAAACTTTTAATCTGTAATCGATGTGAACTACAACTGTGTGTCCTAATGTTGGTGTGATAACTACGATAGATACATATAACGGATCTGCAGTAAGACACCAAAATCTCATCACAACGGTTCCTTTTCGCGTTATTGATATTGTTGTACAAAATAATAACAAAAGATGCTCAACAAACGAAACTTACCCGAAGGTCCACCAAATATCGAAGCACATTATAGTCAACCACATAAATGCAGCTAAAAACCAGAACAATATGAAATAACCTGAAATATTAAAACAAAAATTAGAAACAGTTAGTGTCTGTAATACTGGTATGCAAGGGAAGAAAAAGTAGGGAATGAGCGAATGTAAAGATAGGAGACGAAAAATTAGAAGAAATGACCGATTTTAGGTATCTAGGAAGTCAGATAAGTCAGGACGAAAGGAGTAGTAGGGTTATAAAGCAGAGGATAGCGCATGGTCGAGTCGCCTTCAGTAAAAGGAAGTCACTTCTATGCTCGCGAACGTTTAATTTAGAAATTCGAAAAAGGTTGTTAAAGGTGTATGTTTGGAATGCGGCGCTGTACGGATGCGAAACATGGACAGTGGACGCGGTGGAAAAGAAAAGGTTAGAAGCGTTCGAAATGTAGTGTTACCGGTGAATGATGAGGATACCGTGAATAGAGAAGGTTAGAAATGAAGAGACACATATTAGAAAGAATAGGAGAACAGAGGACTCTATGGAAGTCAATAACAAATAGGCGAGATAGGTTAGTAGGACACCTTCTCAGGCATGAAGGTCTAGTCAGAGACATTTAGAGACAAAAACGGAAGTTAGGAGGGGTAGAGGTAGATCTAGATTAGATTATTGTTCGCAAATAGTTAAGGATATGGGATGTTCTAGTTTTAGGGAAATGATTAAGATTAGCTCAGGATAGGAAGGAATGGAGATGCGTGTCCAACCAGTCTTAGGACTGACGAACTTATGATGATGAGTGTCTGTAATATCACCTACCTATTGTTCTGCAAATTTCCTTTGGCTCAATATCGGGATTAAATTGGGCAGTGGCCAGAAAGGTGCATGCAACCATGAGACAAAAACAATGCACCATTAAAGTCCTCCCATGTAAATTTTGCATATCCGGAAGCACCAAGTACCCAATAAACGTGATTAGTAAACATACTATTGATATGCAAAGAAGACAAGAAACTATTTTCATTTTAATGTCAGTTAGAGGAGGCTTTACTACACAGAGGAAAAAGAAATCGTCGAAAGCACGCGCAAAATTCTTTGAGGAAGCACGCTCATAACAATAATTTTCTTCGATCGCCGGGAGGAAAGTTGTTTTAGTGGTTAATTCCAGTTTTATGGTTCCAGCTTCATCTAATGTAAAATTGAATTGTTGTTCTCTGGCCAAATACTTACTGCAGCTAAGGCCATGGATAAAAGCTACGTTATCTGAAATGAAAAGATTGAAATTAGTATAAAGTAAGTAGGTACCTTTTGTTTTAATAACATGGAATCAAGTCTATAAACTCCATTTTAACGGTTTTATAATTTGTTACATGCTTTTACCTATAAAGGTCATACTAAGACAAATTCAGAAAAGGGAATAAAAGAACATATTATTATTATATACATATAAAATATTGCCATGTAAGTTTACCATATACAACAGCTACAAAAATTTTATTATAATGTATTAACAAAATAGAAGAAACAGATTTAATCCATAAGAAGCAATTAGAATTATAGAAGCATAAAGAGTTTTGTAATACAATCAGAATAGTTCAAGATTTCCAACGACAGAGCAGGTCGTAAAAGGTGTAATTTTTTTTTTAACATATAAATTATCTTAAGCAAACGGTTGGGTATTTTTGTGGTTCTGTGTTTATTTACAGAATTGAATGTCAGCATTTATAATGTTTAGAAGATTCTAAGAAACGACACTTCTTAAGGAACGTAAATGAAAAATAAAAATATGAATTAAGAAAGTTGAATTTTAAATAGTCAGAAATTTGTTGAAAACACCTGGTATGAACAAGACAGCAGATAATTTCGACAAATAAAAATATAAAAGTTGTTGGCATTAAATGTAAATCATTTTTTTCTTTGAAATCAGAAACTTTCTAACTAATCTACGAAGGTAATTGATGGAATATATACATATTATTGTAATAAAATTAATAAATTTGAGAACGCCTTTCTTTAGAACTAATTAAATTGTACAGTTAAGGTTTAATTTTAACATAACCAAAAAAAAATGCATATAAAACTAAAAGTAGATACTAATGATTCTATGAAGCAATTTGTATGGGAAGTTTTAACAAATTTATGGACTATGTCTTAGAATACCTAC